CGTGGGATTCATTGATAACACTGTGACGCAGTGAACTTGTTTCGTTTTCATGTGTGAAAGCCAATCTATGATTATTTATTAATTTATATAGCCCTAGGCCATTCTCACTCTATGTTTTAGATGATCATAGTTCGTAAATGAAGTACTACTGCACAAAGAGCGTTTTCAAGAATTCATGGGAGGAAGTGGCGACGGCATTTTGGCATCGTTACCCGAACCCTTTCAGTCGTCATGTTTTGTCTGAGGATACGTTGATGAGATCAGTAGTAGGCTCTGTATTATATTCTAAGCGGCTGTTGCTTAAAACGAATCGAATGCCGAAATGGGGTGAGCGTTTTTGCAATATTCGCCACGTGCCTGTTCTCGAGGAATCGTCGGTGGACAACAGGCTTAAGACACTTGTCACTTATTCCCGGAATATCAGCTACACTCGTATGATGTGCGTCGAAGAAAAGTGCGTCTACCGACCTGATCCCAACGACGCCAACCAAACGGTGTTGAAACGGGAGGCATGCATTTCCAGTCACTTGCGAGGGTTTGCTGTCGTCGTACAACGATTCGCCGTCGAAAGGTTCAAACATAACGCGGCGAATGCCAATCGTGGTATAAATCACGTGTTGTCAAAAATGTTTCCCAGCAGAGTTTATGGTCGAAAAAGTTTCGGACAGACTTCTTGAGCAGTGCTTGTTTCTGCATTGGTTTTTTGCTCTGGTGTTCGGCGTGGCATCCAATTCCGGTTCAGTGTTGCAGTAAACGCATATTTATTTTAGTATCGTGTTTTAACGTCTGTTTCATGTCTGATTCGTATGTTTTTTTAGACGGACGAGTTTCATTTCGAGATGCTCTAACCGCATGTTGGCCATCGCTATTTTTGTTTTTATATTTTTTAATGCTCTTTCCTAAGCAAAGTTTTCTATATCATATCAGGTGCTTTGTTTTTGAAAGTAGGAGACAAAATGTTATTTATTTTATGCCTACGGATAGAGGCGTATCTGCAGGTATCCGAACAAGCTTTTGTTAGGCCCTGCCTAGTGATGCGGTTCTGCATCCTGACTGTAGCTGCTCAAATACCATAGAACCCGGGCCTTCTTAAATGGTCCCTAGGCCATTAGAAACAAGCGGACAGTGGCGTGACGTCGCTTCAACCCGGTATCAAAGGAGAAAATGTTCAAACGTTATTTAATTACGATAATGAAGTTAATTTTTTTCATTTCTTTGCTGAGCATTCGTCATTGTTTAATGTGGCAAATCCGCCTAGAAAGTATTGTGAGTGTTTATGTTTTGCGCCACTTCGCGATTCTCATCGAATGATAGACACGTTCGACAATTTTTCGTTCCTGTCCATGGTCTGCTGGAACTTCTCAGCTGTTGCAGTACGACTACTGGTCATTGTTGTGTAGAAGAAAATTGTGAGAGCTCCCATTGGGCGTATATTGCGAAATGGTATTGGCATAAAAGAATACGGATACTCTGAAAATATCAGAACATTTTACTCTAATGGTGCTGCCTGTGACGCTTAAACCTTCCAAAGTCTTGCACTAGTATCGTGATGTAGCATAACGATATCGGACAGCAGGAACAGAAAATAAAAATTCATAGTCTTGAAGCACCAGGACTGACGGTGTTTTGTACTTTCTAGAAATACTAGTCCTGACACCCTTACATAAGCTTCAATCGATTGCTATTATTCTGATCAGACCAGTTGAATGATTCCTGTAAGAAACGGTTAGGTATTCGAAAGCAGCTAGTAGCTAGCTTTGACAAAGAACAGATTTTTGCCCAAAGCATTTTTTTATGTGAGTGGTGCACTTACCGCTCCACTGAAAAGCAACAACAAATCATCGCAACATTTTTTACAATTGGATATGCTATTAACTATGCGATATGCTAGTAGCGCAGATGAGCGCTGTTACCGTCAGCGTGCGTTGCCTGATATAAACGTGGTAGCAGGCGTCACAAACCTTGGTAGCTCTACTGTTCTAACTTTGCTGAGGAATGAAGAAAGGAAAGTTCTTGGTAGCGAATGGTCTGAGAATGCTGACTGAAGAAATCCTGTACCGGTAGGCGTCTGTGATTTGACAGAACGATCCGAAGAATGAATGGAGACCTATCGAAAACCATCCTCCCCGGGAAGCAAAATGGCAGCAGACGCGTTGGAGACCAATGTCGCACCAAAAGAGCTGCTTAATGTGGAGTTGCTTGTGACGAGGAATACTATCTTTTCGGTTACAACCATATCGCCTAGATCATTCT